CATCAAAATAAATGTGCTCTTGCAACATTTGTTGTCCTGTCTTCCTTCAATTTTTCAATGTGTACATCCCCACTGCTTGTAGCAGCATATTCGACTGGAAAGTGTATATGTGACAGATTAGTAACAGACAACAGCCAACAGCCTATACGCAATCTAGCCACTTAAGTATCTGACTTCTTAAATGTTTGTTTGTATTATTTTTCTGACTAACAATGGGTCCATTAGTTTATCAGCACTAACTAAACAAATATTCAACTAGATATCAGGATATCCTGAAGTATTTTAGAGCTGTTGATGTACTTGTGAAATGTTGCCTCTGTTACAACTTGAAGTTTCAAGCCTTTATTTAGAAAACCAACAAATGCATTTTGATAGCCATAGCTTTTAACAACTGACAACAAAATTGCCACAATAAATGAGAGAGAAGATTGGAAGCCAAAGCTCTTTATTTTCATATGACTCTGTGTGCACAAGGTTTTCAATGGTGCAGAGAGTCATGGCATTACCTGCAAGTAAAGATGAACTAGCTGTTTCATGGGAGTCTTCAATAAAACTTGTGAATAGGCAGTTAGGAGAAGGAGCAAGTCAAGTCATCAGGCAGGAATAAAGCAGAGAACGAGGTAGGACTGATAAATTAAACTGCATTTATTCTAATGCAAGAGGCCTAACAGGTAAGGCAGATGAACTGGAGGTATGGATAGGAACATAGGACTGGGATATCATAGTGATTACAGAGATGTGGCTCAGGGACGGACAGGACTGGCGGCTTAATGTGCCGGGTATAGATACTATAGGAAGGATAGAGAGGAGGGGGAGTGGACTTCTTGATTAACATTACGGCTGTACTTAGGGCATTCCTGGGAATACATCCAGGGAACTTTATTTGGATGGAACTGAGAAATAATAAAAGGGTGATCACCTTGGTGGGGTTGTACTATAGACATGCCAGTAGTCAGCGGGAAATTGAGAAGCAACTATATAAGGAGATATCAGTCATCTGTAAGAATAATAGGATGGTTTTTGTCTGGCATTTAATTTGCTAAACATAGACTGGGACTGCCAGAGTATGAAGGACTTGGATGGAGTGGAATTTAGGTGTGTACGAGAAAATTTTCTGATTCAGTATCTGGATGTACCTACTAGAGAAGGTGCAAAACTTGATCTACTCTTGGAAAATAAGGCAGGGTGTCAGTAGGGGGAGCACTTTGGGGCCAGTGACCATAATTCTGTTAATTTTAAAACAGCAATGGAAAAGGATAGGCTAAATCTAAAAAGTTCTAAATTGGAGGAAGGCCTATTGTGACAGTGTTAGATTCGAACTTTGAAATGTTGATTGGGGGCAGGTGTATATTTGCAGTTAAAGGAATGGCTTGAAAATGGGGAGCCTTCAAAAATGATTTAACGAGAGTCCAGAGAAAGTATGTTCCTGTTCGGGTGAAGGGCAAGGCTGGTAGGTGTGGGGAATGGTGGATGACGAGAGAAATTGAGGTTTTGATCAAGAATAAGAAGAAAGCATATGTCAAGTATAGACTGCAGGGATTGAATGAATCCCTAGATGAGTATGAAGGCAGCAAAACTATACTTAAGAGGAAAATCAGGAGGGCAAAAAGGGGACATGAGATAGCTTTGGCAAATAGGGTTAAGGAGAATCCAAAGGGATTCGACAAATAGGTGTAAGGACAAAGGAGTAACTAGGGAAAGAAGAGGGCCACTTAAAAATCAGCAAGGCCACCTATGTGATAAGCTGCAGGAGATGGAGGAGATATTAAAGGAGTATTTTGCATCAGTGTTTACTGTGGAGATGGATATAGAAGATGGAGAGCATGAGCAAATAAATAGTGACCTCTTGGAAAAATGTCCATATTACAGAGGAGGAGCTAGACATTTTAAAATGCATAAAGGTGGATAAATCCCTGGGACCTGATCATGTGTACCCCAAACTCTGTAGGGAAGTGATTGCTGTGCCCCTTGCTGAGATATTTGTATCATCAATAGTTACAGGTGCCGTGCTGGAAGACCTGGACGTTGGCTAACCTGGTGCCACAATTTAAGAAAGGTGGTAAGGAAAAGCCAGGGAATATAAATCAGTGAGCCTGACATCAGTGGTGGGCAAGTTGTTGAAGGAAATCCTGAGGGACAGGATTTATATGTATTTAGAAAGGAAAGGACTGATAAGGAATAGTCCATGTGGCTTTGTGTGTGGAAAATTTGTCTCTCAAATTTGACTGAGTTTTTCAAAGAAGCAACTAAGGATTGAGGACAGAGTGGTGGACATGATCTGTATGGACTTCAGGGAGGTGTTCGACAAGGTTCGTCATGGTAGACTGGTAAGCAAGGTTAGATCACATAGAATACAGGGAGAACTAGTCATTTGGAGGTAGAACTGGCGAGAAGATAGGAGATGGAAGTTGGTGGTGTCGGGTTGCTTTTCAGGCTGGAGGATCAGTGCTGGAACCACTGCCTTTTGTCGTTAACATAAATGATTTAGATGTGAACACAGGAGGTATGGTTAACACATGACACAAAATAGGTGGTGTAGTGGACAGCGAAGAAGGTTACCGTGGAGTACAGTGGGACATTGATCAGACGAGCCAGTGAACCAAAGAGTGGCAGATGCAGCTTAATTTAGATAAATGTGAGGTGCTGCATTTTGGGAAGGCAAATCAGGGCCGGACTTATACACTTAATGGTAAGGTCCTGGAGAGTGTTGCTGAACGAACGAAATGCAGGTTCATAGTTCCTTGAGAGTGGAGTCCCAGGTAGACGGAACAGTGAAGAAGGCGTTGGGTATGCTTGTGTTTTATTGGTCAGTGCATTGAGTATGGCAGTTGGGAAGTCACTGTTGTGGCTGTACAGGACATTGGTTAGGCCACTTTTGGAACGCTGTGTGCAGTTCTGGTCTCCCTGCTATAGTAAAGATGTTATTAAACTTGAAAGGGTTCAGAAAAGATTTACAAGGATGTTGCCAGGGTTGGAGGGTTTGAGCTACAGGGTGACGCTGAATAGGCTGGGTTTTTTACCCTTGAGCGTCAGAGGTGTAGGGGTGACCTTTATAGAAGTTTATAAAAGAGTGAGGGGCGTGAGGTAGGGTGAATAGCCAAGGTCTTTTCCCCAGGGCAGGGGGGTGCAAAACTGGAGGCCATAGGCTTAAGGTCAGAGGGAAAGATTTAAAAGGGACCCAACTTTTTCAGAGGGTGGTGTGTGCATGGAATGAGTGGCCAGAGGAAATAGTGGAGGCTGGTACAATTACAGCATTTAAAAGGCATTTGGATGGGCATACAAATGGGTGGGTTTAGAAGGATATGGACCAAATGCTGGCAAACCAGGCTAGATTAATAGAGAATACCTTTGTTGGTCGTCATGAGTTGGATCGAAGGGTCTGTATCCTTGCTGTACAGTTCTATGGCTGATGAAAAGCTATTTGTCACAGGAGGTTTGGAATACCTGTAGTCATCTGTACCAACAAACACTATTGAGGTATTTTCTGATAAAATGGTCCCGTCCAGCTGTTAAAGCCCACGATAAATGGAACATCAAATGTGCAGGAATTATCAATGCTGAAATTAAGAGAAAGTGGCGCATGTGTTGCCTCTTATTTGCCCATTTTAGTGAAATGGATATGATAAAAATTGACTAAGTTGTGTATCTCCTGTGGAAGGATGGCTGTTGATGAGCTCAGTTTTCATGTATGCTTTGTCACCAGTTTTTTTTTTTTGCTCTTTTCTGTCTGAATCTTCTGGCATTTTATGATTTCAATTTACTTGTCCTACATTTTTTCAGGTTCTGTTTTGTTGCTTGCATCTATATTGCATACAAATATGGTAAGGATTAGCTCGTATACTGTAGTACCTAAGGAGCTGTATCACCTTGGATTTTGTGCAGGAATTTTGTCCTGGACTACGTTGAGTTGCAGTGAAGAATGTCACCAATATTGTGGAGTTAGTGGGACTGCAGCTTAAGTTTGTCCACATTTTTGTAAAATGCAGGAGTCCAGTAATTTCTGTTGGGTCAACCTGCTTTTTCATAGGCTGTATTTTAACATTTGTCTGTTAAAGTGTAAAGGTGCTGTCATAATCGATGAGTTAGCCACAAAATGTGCCATGTGAAGCTTGGACTGTTGCTTTCAGATGTAACTGAACTTTTGCCGGCAATGCCGTTATAATTGTTACCAAGCAGATTCTCTCTTGCCCTTAAATTTTAACTTTAGTGTTTGGAGTCTGATTTCGTCAGAACTGAATTAATGTGGGATATTTGAACTTTAACTTTTTCAAGAATTCCTTTTCACTTATGCTGATCCTTATTCTCTTCTCTGTTTAAGAGCTGAGAACCATTGATGGGTTTCTTGGAGAATATATCACCACAAAAAAAATTTTGTCATCGTAGACCTTATTGCTTCTCTACTGAGTTTTGATTTCCCCCATGGTGACAACGGGTCTTTGTAAAACATTTCTGAACCACCCAACCAGCATCCGTTGGGCCATTGAGACCATCCAAGCTGCTGCTGTGGAGCTACCCAGCAATGACTTTGGTTGTAGTCTACTGATTAAATTTAAAGTTGGGCACAAATATTTTCATTTATCCACTGACAAAGCTATTGTTTGGCTCTGTAATTACATATGTACTGAAAAAGTACTATCAGTTTGCTGTACATAGATACAATTCATTGTAAAATTATTTCCTAGTATCAACTTTGATTTAGGCTCCATTCTACCTCAATGCAGATCCTTCAATTTCTAGTTGAGAAGCCATCCTCTCACTTGCCTGGCCTGTGCACTGGACAGGTTGCTCTCGAGTGGGTATTCTAAAAATGGTTAGCCAGAAATAACTATTCATAAACCCTTGAATACTCTGAGCAGCAATCCATTTGACAATGGCAAACACCATTCAGTCACTGCTGGACTGCCAATTCCAGGCAAATAACTTTCATCTAAAGAAGCTCCAGAAAATTGAAAACAAAGTCACATTTTGTTTTATTTAATCGACTTGTTTTGTTTTAACAGTGAAAGAGGTAAACCTTCAAGATATAAAGGAGGACCCAGAGTGTGATCCAGAGGAGAACAGCATACTTTTTATGGGCATTCTGGTGAAAGCCCTGGCAAAGTTGAAGAAGATTCCTGAGACAATCAAAGCCATTAAAGAGCGCTTCAATCAAGAACTGGAACAGATTGTGAAACGGTCCACAACCCAGGTCGCAGATCATGCTTATCAACGAGGTGAAGTCGTCTCACAAGAGAATCAACCTAGGTAATAGTGCTACGGTTGAGAAATGGGAAGAGGCACATAAACTTTTGGCAGTAATCATACTGATACATAGTGAAGTCAGTACACATCATTAGTCTGTTAAGAGCTCAGTCAGTTTTCAGCACATTTTGCAAACCTTTACTCAAAATATTTTGTTTCAAGTTCTGACCTTATTTTTATAAAATGCCTGTAGGGATTGTTATTTGTGTCTGTTATCTATTTGACCACCATGTTGTAACCTATAGAACTTAAGCCATGATTGATGAAAATATTGACCGCTGCCGGCAGCTTTTCAGAAAATGTTCCCAAATGCTATGATTGTGTAAGCAAATGGCATTTCAAGTTTGTTTTGAGCTGGGACAACATCTTGTTGTTCTAACTCTGGCCTTTCTTGATAGCTCCAACACAGGCAAATTGCACGTGGATCTCAGTTTAATTGATTTCTCCAACTTGACATCTTCGTTTTGAAGAGTTGCATCATGGGACTCATACTCTCCACTCCCTTGAAATCTGTTTGAGTTCTCCAAGTCCCTAAATTAAGGGCTTTTGTGGTGCAGTGTTAATGTTCTTTCCTGTGAGCCAGAAAGGCTGATTTCAAGACCCACCTGCTCCAGATGTGTATAATAACATCTCTGAACAGATGGATTAAAAAATCAAGATAAAATAGTTGGTGACAGCACACCGCAAGCTACCAGGTAGGTGTTGATAATGTGACGTATGACATGGTTGTTAGTAAAGGCTGTTGTGGTTCAGTAGTATTCTCCTTAAATCTGAGCCATGAAGCCCATTTTCAACTCCCAACTAATCCAGGAGTGTGTAATAATAGTATCTTTGAACAGGTTGATTGGGAAAACATCTGAAGTCCTAAATTCTGGTCAAAAGCAAAAGATTTTGAAAATGAAAGATTAGAATTGCTGTTGCAGTGGCTTATATCAGATTTTAAATATCTGGCAATGAAAGGAAGTGGACTAGAAAGGAAGTAAGAAGGCTGAAATTCATATTTCTGAAAGCTGTTGTGTTGCCTGCTGGAAAAGTGCACTGCTTGGATATTGGGCAAGGATAATATTACCTTGAGCAAACTGATAGATGGAGAAGGGGTCAACAAGGTGCAGAGCTGGATGAACACAGCAGGCCAAGATGCTGCTTGGCCTGCTGTGTTCATCCA